AGCGAACGACTTATAGGAGACGCGGCAAAAAATCAGGCAGCCATGAACCCCAAAAACACGATTTTTGACGCGAAACGATTAATAGGTCGTCGAATTGACGATCCCGAGGTCAAAGCGGACATGAAACATTGGCCGTTTACCGTCATTGACCAAGATGGTTCGCCACTGATCCAAGTTGATTATCAAGGTGAAAAAAAGAATTTTACGCCCCAAGAGATATCGGCGATGGTATTAACTCGAATGAAGGTGACTTATTTTTTATTATGGCGTATGCTAATTAATCGTGTTCTCACCTTTTGCACGAGTTCTGATGAGTATTATTATTACATCAGGAAATCGCGGAAGGCAAGCTCGGAAAGAAGGTCAAAAAAGCAGTAATCACGGTGCCCGCCTACTTTAATGACTCTCAGCGCCTCTCCACAAAGGATGCCGGCAAAATTTCAGGCATGGAAGTTCTTAGGATCATAAACGAGCCTACGGCAGCCGCCATTGCCTATGGTCTAGATTCGAAAGAAAGCAAGGAAAAGAATGTGCTCATCTTTGATCTTGGCGGTGGTACCTTTGATGTTTCCCTATTGAACATATCTGGCGGTGTTTTCGCGGTCAAGGCCACCGCTGGTGACACACATCTTGGAGGAGAGGACTTTGACAACAATCTACTTGAATTCTTCAAGCAAGAGTTCAAACGTAAGCACAAGCTCGACATCTCTAACGACGCTCGTTCTATACGTCGCCTCAAAACTGCTTGCGAACGTGCCAAACGTACCTTGTCTTCATTAACCCAAACGACCGTGGAGGTTGATTCACTTTTCGATGGCACTGACTTCCAGGCCACCATCACTCGCGCAAAATTCGAGGAATTAAATTCAACACAATTTAACTCAACATTAGAGCCGGTTCGCAAAGTTCTAAAGGATGCGAAAATGGAAAAAAAGGACATTCACGAAATTGTTCTTGTTGGCGGATCCACTCGTATTCCAAAGATTCAATCTCTCCTTCAAGATTTTTTCGATGGAAAGGAATTGAATAAATCCATAAACCCAGATGAAGCTGTCGCATACGGGGCGGCGGTTCAGGCAGCGGTTCTCACTAATCAAGCAGGCAATGAAAAAACCCAAGACCTGTTGCTCTTAGATGTTGTGCCACTTAGTTTAGGGGTAGAAACGCAGGGCGGGGTTATGGCAGTGGTCGTACCTCGAAACACGCCAATTCCTACGATCAAAAAGAAGATATTCACCACTGCGGAAGACGGTCAGACCATTGTAGAATTCCCGGTATACGAAGGGGAGCGACCCATGTGTCATGATAACAATCTTCTTGGTTCCTTTGAATTGTCGGGTATTCCTCCAATGCCGCGCGGAGAGGCGGAACTCGAATGCACCTTTGATATCAATGCGGATGGCATTCTTAAAGTTACGGCAAAAGATAGAGCAACTGGTCGTAA